TGTAACCTCGCATCTGAGAAAGAAGTCCTTCCAGCTCTTTCTTCTGCGCTTCGATTTCTGCAAAAAATTCAAAGATTTTTTGGGGTCATTTCCCAAATATTGTGAGATCAAAGGGATACGAGATTCTCACAACTTGGCTCACTAAAGGTCAAGCAACGATTGTTTGTCATTCATTCTCAACTGAGATATACCTTTGCATTGGAAACAAGCTCCAGTGTATTTTTTCAGAGGAAAATCTGCACATTTATTCAAAGCCTGTTTAATTTTTTGCATTTTTTTGAATTAATAATTCGGAATCGAAAACTGAGGGTGTCAAGTCGACAAAACTATCGTCGGAATTTTATTATTGCACCAGTAAGCAGATACAATTCGAAACAATTCTAGAAAAATAAAGGAGTTTTGGTTACCATCAAAAAGGCTTTTAAAAGAAGCCTTCAGAGCTGAAATTTCATTCGCCAGAGTCTCTTGGCCAGCAGTTGATGTTGAAGCAAGCAGCACTTCTCCCATATGAACCACTTTCTCCAGCTTTGCCAGACCTTGCGGTTGACGATTCATCAGATTCTGTGAAATTCGACAATGAAATAAATCGTCAACAAGAAGGTTGGAAATAGAATCCTTTTTTTTAACCTCAAGAGCAGAAACAGCTGACTCAATGGCGAGTTTATCACCAAGGTTTTTTTGCCTCAATGCAGGAACTTTGTCTCTTGCTCGACTCATCCACGAAAGCAAATCGTCTTGACATTCTTTGAACATCCTGTGGTCTTTGTATTGTTCTTCTCTCTCAGCTCTCAAGCTCTGAATATTCGAGAAATAAAATTTTAGAACTAATTTCAGGCACGAATTCCTGAATCGTAAAAAACCTTGATTCTGTCAATTAGCCCCTCAAACTTCATCAAAATGTTTTTGGCCTGGGCAGCTGCTCCAGTTTGTTGTCCAGAAGCAGCCATTTCCGCAGCTTTCGCCTTCAAACTGTCCACTTCGTATCTTTCACATCGGATCCTCTCCTCGAGGCCTTTGAGGCGATCGAGTTGATTTCTTTTCTCCGAAATTGAAGACAAAAAGGTGCCTCCTTCTTCTAAAGAAGCTTCGACGTGTTGAATGGTTCTGTTGAGCTGCTGGATCTGCTCGAGGAATCCGGCCCATCGGTGGATCTCGTCATCTAGATTTGTCTGTACATATACATGACAACACGAACACCATTATTAGATTTTGATGATTTGCCATGAATAGCACTAGAGTTCCTTTTCAATAGAACCTTAAATTGTACAATACGCTATTTAGGCTCTCGATTATCAAGGGTGAAGTTCGCATCAAAATTCTCATCAGGAAGTATACTGCACTCATAGGAATGAAAGACGCAGTTTTCAGGTAATCGAATCTCGTGCATCAGAGTACTCAATTAAATTCCACAACTAATTTTACGGAAGCTTGAATTTGAAAAAAAAAACAAATCCGCAGACAAAAATGAAGTTTTCAGGATTGACCTTAGCATTATCGTACACAAAGTACGGTACACGAAAAATTATAAATTGACGAACCTTTGCTTCAGCCATTTTTGAGGCCAAAGCTGACCAATCTTTCTGCAAAGCCTCGACGGCCGCGTTGATTTCAGCATGTCCATCAGATGAAGTATTGGCAAGGACAATTTGAGCTTTCTCTACCGAGCTTTGGACTTTTCCAAAGCCTTCTTCTTTATAAAGAAGCAAATCCTGAATTTAAAAGAAGAAAGAAATCAATCGAAGATGCTTCGGTATGCATGACATGAGTATTTGACCATCCAGACATTGATATAGAAGAACTTAGTACTGCAATATTCAAGTACCAGCCCTTTCATGAGATTCCCGAGAGTTTTTTCAATCGAAAATATTCGAATCGTTCACCTGAATAGTGACCATTTTTGCTTCAAGATCTTCCTGAGAACTCGCACTCAGATCGGAACAATAGCTGAGCTTTTGCGAAATGTCGGCTAGCCATGATCGGCACTCGGCCAATTGTGCGTCGTAGTCCCGATGGTTGCTCACATATTGTAGCCACTTGCCATGCAAATCCTTAACTTTGAGGGAAATTTGCTGATATCTCATGCCGAGTTCCGAATTCTGCGATTGGCGTCGCGGAGACGATGAGCCTTTGTACAAAGTCTGAGCCTTGTCCGTGAGAGCATCCATTTCCAGTTCTTTCGCTCTGACTTCCCCTTGCAATTCCTGAATCATCAAGTTTTAGGGAATATACTGGAGTACAAATACATTCAAGCATAAGAGGTTTTTCCGCAAACCTTGACGATGTCCAGTTGTTTCTCCTTGGAAGAAAGTGTCGGCTTCAAGTCAATTGCATGGACTTTGGTATCAGTATCACGTAGCCAACAAGAAAGATCTTCTTTCAGCTTTTCATACTCATCCCATTGGTTCAACCTCTTCTCCAACGTTTCAATCATCGATCTATATAAGCATTAAAAAATAAAATGAAACTTCCGTCACTCGATTTTCGAGATCACAAATCCCGAGTTCCCCTCTCAGATTACTCTGTAGAAATGATCATCATATAAAATTTGATACAGCGGAATCTGACAATACTCAAAACACTTGGATCGCGTAAATTTACTTTCAAGTCGTATTTTGAAGAAATTTCAACCAGCAGGGATAAAATCCATCGAACACAAATGAAGCACAACTATCCGGGATAAATAACGTCGTTGGAACGACTGAATTTCAGGTGCAACGAGAAAAGTTCCATTTAGAACTCGGACTAACGGAAAGCAGTTGTAAATTGCAGTCGGTTAATTGTAATACAATATGAAATACAATTTTTGGGGATTTTTTTCTTTTTACCTGAGCGACGAAAGCAAACTTTGCCATTCTTGCTGGCAAGAATCAATTTGAGCCCTAACATTCACAACCCCAGCATCATTTGTGCCTGGAATGACCTTCTCTCCCAACGACTTGACTTGCTTGATCTTTGACTCCTCTTCATGTATCACAGCATCCAGATTCTAAAAAAAGAAAACTCGTTAATTCCCACGCATAAAGTCCAGCAGATACAAGGCAACTTACCCTAAGTCTTTCAAGATTTGTATGCAAAGTAATCCTTTCAATAGCATTGTCACCCCAAAGCTCAATAGCGGAATTCGTGGCTTCAAGCCACTCCAAGGTCTCCAAGACAGCTTTTGAATACTGTTGGTGATCGCTGACGATTCCTTCATACCGCTCAACGCATTTCTATTGAAATTTTCGATTTTTTTTTCAAACGTCTGACAAGATTTAGTTTGCAAGGAACAAACCTGTGCGTTTTGCAGCATATCTTTGTGCGTCTCCGTAACATTCGCTAAGAACACTTCAATCTCGTTGTTCCGTTCAGGTAAGCTTTTCGCGCGGTCCTTCAGATCCAGGATTGACTGCTGATGGTTTAGGATGTCATGCAAAAGCAACCTAGACAGAAAATTTCCTCTTTTAAATATTTCAACGCAGACAAATGAATAAACAGTTGAAATCACAAACCTGTAAACCTGAAGCTGAGCCCGTTTTTCGTCCAAGGTAGATTTCAACTCGATATCTTCAGGTACTTGACATCGCGTGGATTTTAGCCAGTCGCTCAATTCTGATGTCAATTCTTCGTAGCTGTTCCATCTGTGATTACCAAGTAAATTTTTAAAGCTGAAAACAAAGAAAGATATAGTTGACAGCGTACCGTCCAAGTCGGACTTGAACATCCCGACATCCACTCGTCACGTCGTCGAAAAATGATTCTAGGCATTGTTGCAAATCCTTCAGCTGGATTCTGATGATTTCTCGACCTTCGGGTGCCGTTGTTCCATAAAGCTTTTCCCCAGCTTCCACAGTTGAGTTTAATAGGGACATCGCCAAGGGCCTTTCAGCGGATAATTCTTTAAAGCAGTATTACAATGTACGATTAAAATTGACGTCGCCCTCTTTATAAATAAATGTATTCTAGCAAACCTTTCACTAGCGTTTCTTTCCTTTGAAGTGATGCTTTATCACCACTTATTCCGCAACAAGTTTGGTATTTTTCTTTTGCAACAGAAAACCATGCCAAACATTGGTCGTGCTTCGAATTGAATGCTTTATGGTCTTGTGTAGCCTTCTCGCACTTCTTCAAAATTTCCTGAAAAAGAACAAACGACATAAATGAAGAACCCGAGAGCGCAAGGTTTTCAAAAAAAGGGGTTTTCCGAAGACTTACAAAATTGTAATGTACCTCCTGTCATTAATCCTCACAACACGAAAGTAAGCACGTTAAATTTTAAAAACTCATTTTGAACAGAGGAAACAGAAATCTACCTAAATAAACATTTAATTCGAGCACAAGATATGTTTCTTTCTTCAGGAATTTAAGGCTTGTTCCCTATTCAAAGTTTCCATCCAGAAGTTCGACGTCTCCGCATGTTTGCTTTAGTAATTTTTCGTAAAAAAAATCAGACCAAGATTTCCCCAGTCATTCTGTACATATAATACGCAGAAAATAAGCCCTGTTACATTCTTTGAAGGGAAAATTAACTCTTATTCATAAAAACTTGAATCGTGAAAAAAAATCGGAAAGAAACCTTGGCAGTCGTCTGCAGTCCTTGAAACCTGCTGGTAACTTGTTGGACTGTACTGGACAATCTGGACTCCCCAGTAATCTGCATCAGGTCTGAACCGTCATCACTCAGTTTGTCCATGTCGCCTTCATTTTGACGAATGGACAGCATCAGCGACTGTGAATGAAATTTGCTCCATGATATAATCCTGGTCAGCACTTAGCAAGTCACCGCACATCAACAAAAGACTGAAACGCAATTCATAAGAAAAAGGCACGACAAAAAGTACTCACTTGCTCCATATTATCAGCTTCACTAATGAAATCTTGAACGGTTCTATTGTACGCTGCTAGAGTCTTCTGAAACGCCTGTAGACATGCATCAACGCTACTAAATCGTCTTCTATTTCTCGCATAAGCATCACAGATAATTCATCTCACTTTATTCCCCTTGTTGAATAAATTGACTGAATTAAAAATCGCCATGAAAAAGTAACTTTAATAGATAAAAAGTCTTGTTTTAAATCATTTTAGTAGCGAAGCCAAAAAAAAACCTCTCAGAAAGAATGCAACGAAACGTCAACCTGTTTAAATTCAGTACAGCATTTCAGAGCTTTAAATTTAGAGAACTCGCTGAAAATCATCCGATGAAGTTTTCGAACCTTTTAAAAATTTCGTCGGAGTAAAAAACTAAAGAAAACGACATGCTTCAATATTCTACGACATTTCCGCAAGAAAACGTCACACGTTCAAGTAAATCTAATGCACGGCAAAAAAGCCAAAAATCTTTCATGAAAACCCTGTTTATACATAAAAAAACGAAGGCTGGACTATGAACGACTCAACTTCAAGGAAAAGAAGGTTCCAGCTGAAGCCTCGTTTAAGAAAGTTCCTAGGAAGACTGAGCAAATTGGTTCTGTCTTCCGCGAGAAAGCTGTGCTCATACTCTTCCCACTGACGCAGTCGTTCATCCAACTCTTGTCGCACATCCACGAGATCACCTTCCAACTTTTCCAACTCGAACCTTTTGAAATGGTTAGACGGGAATTAGGTGCAACGCAAAATAGAATTGCAATCGACTCTTATGAACTGGAGAATGAGGATCAAGAAAATCACATGGCCATGACAAACGTGAGTCCAACAAATATACCCATTTTCCAAATGCCCACTTAATTACTCAACGCAGTTTTTTCCATTTTGCCAAATCCAAAATTTCAAACGGTAGAAATCTCATTTTCTTGTTCAAACAATAAAAATAAAAACCATAAGATGCGGAAGGGGAAAAAACAATGTAAATATCAAGCAGAAACATTCAGAGCGAACTCGGAATTACTTTCGAATATACCGTAAATCCCTTTCGAAATGTGTATCATCCCTTGAAATCAATTGCAAAAAATTCTTACTTGATGTTGGAAAACTCGCGTTCAACGGATTCTCGGGACCGAGGAGGAAGCTTCCTCAGAATTGTCTGCAGAGTTGAGTCCATGTCTCCCAAAGCTCGTTTCCAGTCAATCAATTCCGTGTTAAAGTTGTCGACAGCAACGAGGCGAGACTTCAGAACTTGCTTGGACCCCGTGTAATCCTTTAACGCAGTCAAACAATCATTGTGATCGTTGATCCATTGCTGGTGAGCTTGCAATTGCTCTTGATACACTGTCAGGACATCTTGAAGATGTTCCACATCAGCTTTGCTTTTCTAAAAACACACAAACACACACACACAAATTATTGGTCGAAGGATTACGGAAACCAGTCAACTCATTCTTTCCAACTTATGAGACATGGTTCTAGAGCGTATTATCTTTTGGTTCACGCAAATGGGATCCTTAATGCAGGAGACCTGAGCATCGATGTATTTTTAGAGAGGAATACTTGATCATTTTCTTGAATACAGTATTTTCCAATCCTTGCTTACCCAACTTGAAATAGATTGAAGATAGAGAGGCGATTAGAGGTGTGATGAATTTGTATGCCCTGTATAAGGACTTGGGAGAGGTAACCAATTCCTTCAAACGGTAGAAAACGTATATCCAACAGCAATGTTTTCATATGCAGTAAACTTATTCGCGTTTGAGATGCAGAATATGGCATGCAGATTGTATTGAAGTGTTAACTGGTGAGTAAGAGGTTATCCATGTCTGGGTTCTTCTTCTTAAAATTCATAATAAAATATGCAGAAGCTTGACTTAGGTCTTCGGATTGATCAAAAAGCTGTGTCGGTTATCCTGATTCAGAAATTTCGGTACGCAAGGAACTCCATTTCACGGTACTGATGACGAAACTCTTGAACCATCCCACATATTTTGGAGGTTTCGTGGATCCCTAAATACAGTACCTTGATGGTCTCTGTCAAATTATCGTAACGGGTTCCGAGATCCCGGATTGTCTCAGCGATCTCAGCACTCGGGGTAGTTTTCTCCGCCTTGTTTTTCATGTTCTCTATGAGTCTCCAATGGGAAGCAACTTCCTGCTGAACAGTTTTTATCTTTACCAAGCGAGATCGCAATTCAGCAGGCGTAACCGCATTGCACACGTCTTGAGCTACGGTTTTCTCCATGCTTTCCATCCAAGCTCTGGTTTGCTGCAAGCTGTCTTGAAGATTCGTTCTTTGCTGAGCTTCTACTTCTCGTTTCTTTTGCAGTTCACCGAGTCGAACTTCGACTTCGTCCCATCGATCGCGCAAATCGCGCAGCTCAGTGCAGCTCAGTGCGGATTTTGTCTCTTCCCGCAGCAGCCGTATGCGGATAAAGACGTTCTCCTAAATTTGAGCAAGGAATATAAAAGAAAATAAGATTCATTTACCCAACATGCAAGTCACAGCAATTGGAAATAATTTTTCGAACACATAATACCGAGAGATACATAATATTTTCGATGGAATGGATCAAAATCAAAACTCCCGTCCTTGGAACAAAACAAAAAAAGAATATTTGCAACAACAAAAATTCAGAGGAAAATGTCTCGGTATCAAATAGTCGTGTGCGGTACAGCACCACGATAAAATCTTGTTACAACGAATGTTTAAAAAATCCATAATTGCTTAAGCCAAATTTGTTGGTTCGTTTGTTTTGTTCCCGCTCAACAGCAACGAAGTTATTTCAATTTCGCTTCTGCGAAGTTCATAATTGCTGTAACGACGATTTGCTAATGTAAAAAAAACTCATGAGGTTCTAGAAAAATCTCCACGACAACTTAATTATTTCCAACTGACAATTCGTTCAGCATATGGGCCATCGCAAAACGATTTCAGCCCAAATAAATTAAAAAATGCACAAAAACGCTTTTACGTAATCCGTCTTTTCCATCTCGGTTCTTGAAATTATTTCGAAGAACAAATAAGCGCTTCAAATGAAGGCGGTAATTCTGGCATGTTCAGGCAGAAAAATTCACTGGGTCAAGACCTAATTCTAAAAATACATTCGGAAGCGATCGATTTTTAAATCATGACTCACAGAAATTTATCACATGTTTCGAAGCGGGCTATAATGATGGTTTTTTTGTGGCAAATTTACAATTTTAAACGTAGCAACGGGAAAAAACAAATTATCTACTCAATACATTTTTCTCGGAGGACACAATCGTCTGTCAAGATTTTTTTCCCGATTTCCCACGGAAAGTTGTACAAGTAAATTCTGTTGTTCCCTCAGTTTGAATGAACTCACCCTGTGTGGAGACAAAGCTGAGTTGGTGGCTTCCGCGTTGACGAGCAGACATGACGTCCTGCGCGGTTACTTTGTTGTTTCCTGAGGAAGCTGACGTTTCAAGAGAAGCTGAACCGCTTTCGTCTTTCTCCAGCCGATTGACCTTGTCTTCCAAATCCGACAAAACAGATACGGCTTCCATAAAACGCTCATCGTAGAGTTTGTGATCATCCACGAGGCCTTCCCATTTGTTGCACATTTCTTTACTCAAGGTATGAAGCAAATGGTACCTGAAATTTGGGATTCGAAGTCATGGGGAGTATTATTGAGAGGTGTGCATTCATTTTGATTCGACCAAATTCTACGCAATACGATAGAAGAATTTCTCAAGATTTCCGAACGAAAAGTCAAACGTAGAATCACCAACCTGCTACTCATCTGGGAAATTTGTGGCTTGATCCGGGCAACCCCACTTTGTTGAAGCAAGGCATGAGCTTGATCTATGAAGGCATCGATACTTCTTTCGTAAGCAATTATTTCTGCACGCTTTACGACCAAATCTCGCAACTTTTCGCTTTTTTCTTCCAAAGAAATTCTCGGCTCAACGTCGCGAAAAGTGGCTTCCATCCGTCGAAACCACGAACAGTGCTTTTCAATTTCTTCGTCGTAGCTTCGCCATTGACCCATTGAACCTTCCAGGCTTTTTTCCAGTTTTTCTTTTGAGAAAAATGGGAATTGCGGAAAATGTCAGTAAGTAGTTTTTTATAATTGGCCAAAATGTTCTAGGGAATCTAAGCTGATTTCGCATCAAGTCACTGACACAAAAAAATTAAATTGAAATTTCCATACGATATGAACGTCTTCGTACACAAAGAAATTCACAAGAGAACAGCGAAAATATTACTTCACTTCTTAGTACTTCTTCTCAATCATTATCCAAGTACCGAGGGAAAGCCTAAGCTCACCTGCATCATCCGAAAAGCTTCTCCAAATTTGCTGTAAGCGCATGAAATCGGCTTGAAGAGTTTCCAATCCCTTGTGATTTGTGCTGTCTTTCAGACCTTCCAACGATTTTCTCAAGCCTTCGAGCATGTGGTCACCTCTCTCCTTCTTGGCCATCAAATCCTGGATATATTTTATATTTTATTAAATATTTATATCAGTTTATTTTCTAGACAGAATAAAGATCCTTACTTTGGCAGAGGAAAGGCGAGAGATCACATCGCCCTTTTCTCCGCTGGATCTCTTGCACTCCGCCAATTGGGTGCAAAAAATCGAACACCAATCCTCAAAAGCTTTTGACGCGGTAATGTGGTCTGAATGCGCAGTCACATTCTTTTCCAATTGATTCAATAATTCCTAAGAAAAAAAAACAGAAGCCATTTCTTTTGCTGTCCAAGGATGAGTCAACTTAGAAAGAAAGGGAAACTCCGTAACCTATCTTTCTATCGTCACGCTGATGGTTCGGAATCTGTGATTTTTCCAAACACACTTTAGATTTTGCGTAAATTTTATCCCCTCTAGGTCTAAGGTATGTTTTGCTTCGTTAGTTTGAGTGAAGTTCTCCGAGTTATTCTAGTTCATGTATCAAGTGATCCACGCGACACCTTCCTGGCATTCCAGGAAACAACATCGGACATCTAGGCGAAAAATACACATAAAAGGAAGAAACGATCGAATTACTCACATTGGACTTCTTCTCAATGCTGGCATAGAGTTTCCGAATGGAAGTGATATACATGTCCAGAGATTCGTCCTTTGTCTGATCAATAAGGGATTGAGCCTTGCTGCAAACAGAATTCACCAGGCATTCTTGCGTTGTCATCTCACTCACAACCACCTTATGGTTCTGCAAAGCATACAAAATATTTTTCCAGTTATGTTTCATGAGCAAATGATTCGAGACATTGAATGAGCAGATTCACCTGACACTGCGCAGCTTTTTCCTGAATCGTGGCTTTCAACTGAGTGTGACTTTGCATGGCTGATTCCACATCTTTCAACCATTTCGTGAGTTGTTCTTGCTGTTCGCTGAATTCAGCAAATTCTGCGAGACAAGTTTCGAGCTTTCCAAGAGACGTAGCCAGAACTTCTCCGTAATCTTCCCATCTTAAAAGCAAGCATTTTCAGTATAAGCGCTGAATGATCAAAAAATTAACATCATAAGATGCGTCAGAAAGAACATTACTTTTCCCTTGCAGTTTTCAACTGATTCCTAATAACTTCACGGCCCTCGGGCGCCGTGTGTGCGTAAAGCCGTTCTCCACTAGTCACCAACTCGTCCAAAGAAGAAGATTCCGAGGTTTTTGCAGTCCGCATCTCCTCCAATTTCATTTTTCTTTCCTGGTGAACAAAATTTGCGAATATGTCAAACCCGCTCTTTTCCGATCTAAATTCCACTGAAAATACCTGAAGAATCCGCAAGTCACCAACGATTTCGGAAAGTTTCTTCAGCTTGTCGTGCTTGCCAGCTAGCCAAATGTTGAAATTTTCATAGGCTTTGTCGAACTCTTTGTGGTCTTTAACGAAGTTTTCATAACGACCAACCAGATCCTTCATCGAAAAAAGACGAATAGATCATGAAACTTATTGTATTCGCTCAAAACGATTTTCGGGGAATTGAAGTAAAACCCAATATGATGAAAATACTGCAATGAATTACATTAAAAACATGAGATTCATAGTGAATCAGACCTATAAAAAAAAACAATAATCTGAGATATCCCCGGCAGATATTACAGTTTGGAGCTCGATCGAATTAGCCGAATTGCAGGTGAGATTTATAGAATGGAAAAGAAAATGAGGAATTTCAGCTAGAACGCTGGAAATCGATGGTGAAATTTTCGTCAATGTTACCTTGACGTGATTTTTCAGGTGCTGGAAGCGAGAGCTCAAATGTGATGCCTGGAAGTTCAACTTTGATTCGGCGAGTTCCAATGGACTGACAGCACTGCGGATATTTTCGGCACTTCTGACTACGTCCGCAGCTCTGCTGTCAAGCTCTTTGATAAGTTGCTTCAACTTCTCCAGTTGCGTTTCCTTCGCTTGCGCAGACGGCTTCAAGGCTGATTGTTCCTTCACCTTTTTTTATGTCCAACAAGAAAATTTCAGCACCAGTTCAAGCATCAAAGGACAAAAATTTCTCGAGTCAAGGAAACTTGCAATATCAGAAAAAAATTCGGATTATCGAGGGAGCGCATTTTTTCCGCGAATTGTTATTTTTGGCCCACGATGAATTTTTAAGCAGCTACAAAAGCCAGGATTGAAGATTATTGCAGGGGAAGATTTGATAGGGCTTTATATTGCACATATAGTACACAACAGGGCTCAAAACTGTATGACCATATTTTTCGTTTCCCACGTGTACGTGCATAACGTCGTTGAAAAGAATGTTTTCTTGCTGCTCACCCGTCGATCGATGTTCTTCAGCCAAGCTGTCAAATCACTCAAACCAGTTTCCAAGGTATGGAATTTTGAAGTTTGCGCCTGAACACTTTCTTTGGCTTCCACACACTGAGCCAGCAAATGCTTCCAGGCCTCAACTTGGCAATCAAAATTGGCATCAAGTAACGGACGCCCACTTTCGTGAGTTTCCGTTTTGACGGAGGCAAGCAAGGCTTTGCATCCATCGAGCTGTTTTTGTCCCTCATCCTTTTTACTCAGAACACCGTTGACAACTTCTAGCATACTTTCAACCACATCCGTTTCTGAACCAGTGGACGAAGCAGCTCCAGTTGCACTGGTCTCCAAGAGGAAGCTCACTTCTCCTTTAAGACAGTTCATCCAGTCCACAAATCTAAAAAATACATAATATTCATGCTCTCATTTGTCATCAAATAGAATGGTTGACACTGCGTTTAGCGTGGAGTTCAACTTTTCCCAACAAGTCTACATGGGAAGAATGCGTTCCATTGCCGCACTAGCACATCTTGAGAAATTTCAGACAGTTTCTGAACAATACGTGATTTGAAACGAATATAAAATTTTCGTGGAAACTATTTTGCTGATCCGACCGTTATGCTTGAATGATATTATTGATCAAAAATTGTCTCGGTAACTAATTTCGCATCAGAGATGCTGGACATGAAGGTTCGAATAAAATGTCAATTGGATGTCAAGAGTATGGTGAACATCCAAATGACAATATCAGTCATATAGTTCATGAAAACCTCGTACAATCAAAATGAGACTTGCTTAAGGCCTTGATAATATCGAATTTTAAAGAAATATGAATCAGGCACTAAATTTCTAGTCTCAGCAGTACTCACGAACTTCGAACCATTTCTGGCGCGAAAAGACATCTTTCGCGAAACTTTCAACAAGGTTTACAGCAAAACTTGAAAGAAAAAAAGACTATTTTACGATGGGTCACCCTTCCATAAAATCCTACGCAAAAACCAGATTACCAATGGAGACCCCATCCATTTTTGAATCCTTGAAAAGTATAATAGGCAGCAAAATCCACTGTCTAACAAAAAAAAATCTAAACGATAATAAATGTACACAATAGTGTTCATAGAAAAAATAAAAAGAGAGAAGAGCACCCGGATTCGGATCAACCCTCGCATATTAAAACGCTCATGAAATATTACCGTTCGAGTCGATGCTGATAATCTTCGTGATTCATCACCAGCTTCTCACTAACGGTTATTCTTCTTTCAGCATCTCTACACAGATCTTCATATTGCTTCACGAGTTTCTCCACATCTCCAACAACGTGAGAAGCATGAAGTTCCTGGCCCTTTTCCTGCAAGTTATTCATGATCTTCTTGTGCGATGCGAGTTCTTGTCCAATCACTTTCAGATTCTGAAACTGGAGCTTCTTGTCCAGTAGATTCGCCTTGGCTTCCATGGACACGCCGATTCTCTGTGTTATATCCTGCAGCCAAAGATTCGTTTGATTGAATGAATCGTCAAACGAAGTCCACTGAAGAAGAACGCTTTCGAATTTCTTCTCCACCCCGTTGAGCTTGTCCAGCAACGTTTCCCAAGTGGATCGCAGTCCTCGAAGTTCTTCGCGAACATTTTCCCGCGCTGGCACACTGAGTTCTCCGAACAATGCTTCACCGCAAGTCACGGCAGTGTTCAGCAATTCTTGTCCCGCGGATTTCTCGTTGATGAAGTCCTTGAGGGAATTGAGCTTGGCTTGGCAAGCCAGGCTGGGTTTGCCTCCACCACGGGGGTCGACAGTGAGGAGCAGAGATGAGTCCAGAGTTTCGAATTCNTGAGCAACATTTGCAACTGTCTGCTGCGTCGCTGCGAGGTCAGCTTTCAGCTTTCCGAGCAAGGCCGGAGTTGAGACGTCGTTTGACTGCAGTCTCGAAAGTGTTTTGGACGTGCTCGTGACATCGTTTGCGAGGACGCGGATTTCGTCTTTCCGATCGTTGACCCAATTGATCTTCGCTTCCAATGCAGAGAAGTCAGGGATGTCAGTGGTGTCGAGCCAACTGAGTTTATCTTTTGCGGCCTTCGCACGCCGTTCCAATTCTTTGACTTCTTCCGTCGGCTTTTTCATGAGGGCCGAGGACAATGTCGAAATTACCTGATGAGATGAAAAAATGCTGCATTAGAATCGATTCAAAGACCGAGACGTCATTTTCGCATTTAAAGGGACAATTTTCATTCTATTTTTGGTAATAAATACTGTAATAGTAATTAGGAACCCGTAATACATTTTTCTACCTGGTCTTTTGCGACAAATAATTGTTTAATGGGAAGATGTTACTGTTACCATACCGATTTAATTTTACGCTTCACTCTTCGACACTTCAATTTTAATTTGAAATTAAGGTCCTCACATTATTTTAATGTTCAGGTGTCATTCGAAGCCGCAAAAACGCCAACAAATTACGTCATCCCGAATTCCGTGTTTTGCTGCCATCTAAAAGTTCTATCTTTCATCTCAAAATCATGAGTTGTTTTCCCGAAGTATAGATGTCACTGACTTTTACATGCTAACTCCTTACTGAGTCATTGCAAGTTCCTATTGCCTCTGGGATCCTCCTGCTTGAACGAGAGTTTTGCTGTTTATCTTTGAAATTCACCTCTCAGATGACCGTGAAGATCACTATATAACATCAGTCGTCGGGAATTCTGGTTTCTCACGCATCTCGATACGATCGATTACGATTAAAGTTAAAGTACTGTACTGTACTAATAAACCATAAACGTCGTATTTCTTCACAGCAAGATCATTACAAAAAGACGGGAACTTTTCTCTCTGGATACTTTACTCAGTAAAAAATTACGTCTTATAGCTGTATTCGAAAAAATAACGTACCTTGCCAGCCAGTGCTTTACATCCCTGCAAAATCTTCTCCGCATTTTCAGCATCCTTCGAAAGCAATCCAATGCTGGGCTCCGTAGGGTGCTGCTTCTTGAATACTCCAATCGCACCTTTGATCGCCTGCAGACATTCCATTTCTGGCTCAATTCCCGTCAGCGCATGTTTCGCATCAGCGACTCTCGTCATCAACAACTGCTCATTTGTCGTCGGCTCCAAAAGCTTCATCAATGACGACTTCGACAACAATA